ATTAAAATTCTGTATAAGATTTGAATAGACTATTCCCCAAAGACATTGTCACACAAATACATTCGTGTGCTCACATCTATGCATACACACATATAAATGCATACATGTACCCATGCATACGCACAAAGGGTGACCATCACAGGTCACCAGGAAAATGCTATCGAAACCACAGTGAGAGGTGTGATTGCCATTGTATTTGCCCACAGAGGAATACAGTGATTACTCATAATGCCCAGCAGAACACCATTAGAGACAGCTGAGAGCCAAAGACTGCTGCTCCAGACAGCTGGCAATAGAGTAGGCTTGGAACTCCCCCAGTGAATCACAAAGCAAAGGCCTGGGTGTGGCAGAGGCGCCACTAAAGGCTGAGACTCTGAAAGCATGGGTATGTCTCCTCCCTCCCTGACAAGAGAATCCTATCACCTAAGGCCAGGGTGGTAATGAAGCTTTGAACCTGAGGATTATGAAGTGCTCACTGTTAACCGGGACCTGCCTCCTGGCTCCTCCTTACTGAAGGGGGACAGAGCCTTCCCACCCAGACATAAACGTTGTGATTTCTTGCACCAAACTAGATACATAGGTAGACAGATAGACAGATGGGTAGACCTAAGGTAGGTAGATAGTCATTTTATTTAGTATGTTGTCTTTGTTGCTGTTCTGTTGTTTTGATTTTTTTATTTGCTTTTATTTTATATAACTCATATAGGCCATTTACTTTTTAGGTTTTTTACTACTAAATATAAGTCATTTGCTCTCTCCCATTCACTGTCTAGTACTGTTTCTTCCCTACCCTCGTTTTCTCCAAGATCCATCATTCAGTGTTCAATTTTAAATCATATTTTTATCCCCTTTCTGTAGCCCTTCCCCATTTACACTTTCCTTCTAGCTATAAGTAGAACTATTTTCTTGTCCATATTTTCTTCTACCCCTGTTCCCCCATCTCTAATTATTCCTTGTTACTTACATTCCTAACTGGTAACTCAATTCCTGAACAACACTCTTTGGTCAGAGGGTTTTATTTTGTGTGTGTTGTCTTAGTTTTTGTTGTTGTTTTGCTTCTTACTTTGTATGTGCATATGTATTAAATTTTCTTCATTTTTCCTGCCCCTTCCCAGCCACAATATAATGTTTAGATTTTTTCTACTTACCTCACTTCACTTGGAATTAAACTCTCCTGTAAGACTTAGCTTCCACCCCTGCCTTCCCTGTATAACCAAAATCCCTACTATATTTTTTTCCAGTCCTGGGCCTTGAACTCTGTCTGAGTCTGGGTACTGTCCTTAAGCTCTTTTTGCTCAAAGCTAGAAGCATCACTTCCAGGTTTTTTTCTGTGATTAATTGAGTTTCATGGACTTTCCTACTGGCTTTGAAACGTGCTCCCCAGTTCTCTGCCTCCTGAGTAGCTTGAATTACATGCATGAGCCACCAGTGCCCAGTTCCTAGTATTGTTTATTAATGTCATCATACTAATGCCTTCCTGTTACTATCCTTGTTAATTAAGGTTTTCCTAGAGCATGAAGATTTTTTTGTCAGTTGTGGGGCTTGAACTCAGGGCCTAGACGCTATCCCTGAGCCTCTTTGGTGCTCAAGGCTAGCACTCTACCACTTGAGCCACAGCACCACTTCCAGTTTTTGAGTGGTTAATTGGAGATAAGAGTCTCTTATAGACTTTTCTGCCGGGGCTGGCTTAGAACCACAATCCTCAGATCTTAGCCTCCTGAGTGGCTAGGATTACAGGCATGAGCCACTGGCACCAGCACATCTTTACTTCTATATTCATTTAAAGACATCAGAGCAGCAAAGTAGTGGTGACTAGCTCCAAATATCCTGTAGCATCTCAGAATGTCAACCATTTATGTGTTTGTACATGTGTGTGCATACACACATACATACATGTGCCAGTACTGAAACTTGAACTCAGACTCTTGGCTTTTTCTTCTCAAGTCTAGTGCTCTATCACTAGAGCACACTTCCATTTCTGGACTTTTTTTTTAATGATTAAGTGGAGATAGAGTACCTTGGATTTGTTTGCCCCAACTAGCTGTGAATCATGATCCTTAGATCTCAGCCTCCTAAGTAGCTAGGATTACAGATGTGAGCCACTGGCAATCAGCCAGAATATCAGTCTTTAGTTCTATTCCCTATGGAAATGGAGCTTATTAAATTCATTTTGTTGGGCCCAAGCCCTGAAAAGTCAACCCTCAAATTTGTCGGAAGTAGAACAGAGGGCTCTGTGGAAGGGTGTAGCACCGTTGATAATTACTTGGAAAGGGAGCAGTGCTTCTGCAAGGCTAGTTTCCTCTCCCAATACCTCTGAGAGTCTCACACTTATCTATATCCCATTGCATCAAAGGTCAGGATTACTTTTGCCATTCCAGTATAGCATGAAAGCAGCTCGGGTCTGAGTGGATCTGGAGCCAGAGAGCCTGCATCAGCGGGTTGGAAGAGAAGAGCTGAGAACAGAGCAGAGATCAGACAGGCAGACCACTGACCGCTGCTCTGCCTCACCTCCTTCCCTGTCCATGTTATCAGAACGGCTCAGTGTTCCCAAGGTCTTTAATTACAGCAAGAATTGGGAGCTGGAGACCGGATTGGATCTCGATGCCCCCACACTGAACCTTACCTGTTTCTGGACCTCAATGGGACATTCAAATTCACTGGCTGCTAAAGCTGCCTTCCATTCACATATATCAGGGACCTATGTTCAAGGTTATGTTTACATTTATGTAATGGGTGCACCCTAAAACTGTGATTCTCCTTCCAAGCTTGTACTGTCCCCTCCACAGACCTTGCCCACTGGACCACTGAGGCCTGGGTCATGTGATACCTGTGGATGCTCCTCCTTCTGTGCAGTCACCTAACTGCTCACCTTTCAAGCCAGGGTCCTGGCTATTCTGGTCCAGGGAAGGTACCTACTCTCTGCAAATCCCCCTGCATCTCTCAATCACCTCATCCTATTCTGGGAACAAGAAGAGGGTCATGGACTCAACCAGGCCTCAGGTTGAGGTAGAGTCTTAGCGTGGGGCAAGTAGAGATTGTTTGCTGAGCTGTTTTAAGCCATGTCTGCTGTGTATGAATGCCACACAGATAAAGCTGATCTAACTCCCCTTTGGGCTACTCTAGCCAGGAAAATACCAACCCCACCTGCTCAACCATTCCTGAAAACATCTGCCAGGTGATAAGGTCTTTTTAGGTTTTACGTTTGCAGATTTATCTCCATGCCCACAGGAGGAGGCTACTCTGACTGGGACCCCCTCCCATGGAATTGGGGCAAAGAAGGGTGCTTTGTACGTCGTGTTGGGATGGCTTGGTGTGCAAACAGAAACCTGTGGTTGTGGATACCATGTCGAACGCTCCAGGCACTTTGAGCATCCTCTTCAGCCTTGCACAAACAGTGTCCAGGAGACATTGCCCATGGGGATGTAGGAAGCCAGAACCAATGTTAGGCTGAGAGACTTGGAAAGACAGAGCTGCAAAACCCTAGATGGCCACTGCAGGGGCAAGCTGGTTTGCCTTCAGCAAAGTGACCTCGGAGAAAGCACTTGTCAAAAAGGGGGAGGGCAGGCTGTGGGAGAAGGCCCCTCACCATCAGTATTTCTCCCTAAGGGAATTTTCTCACTGTTTAGTGCCCGGCCATACTATAGCCCCCAGTCTGCCAAGAACTTTCTGGAACCATCATGCCCAGCTAGCACTCTAGGCCCAGCCCCACCCCTTCCCTCGCAGAAGGAAACACTCAGATTCTCCAGCCATGATAGCTTAAATAAGATTAAGTAGATTTGCCAGAGAACCACGCAGACATCCAAGTACAGAAAACAAAGAAAGGTTTATTTCCAGGAAAGGGGTGCTGCCAAGACTCCTTCTCACAAGGCAGGAATGAGAAGAAGCACTGGCTATTATCTGGGGTGATCTATATAACCTAGGAGGCTTAGGAGAGCCTAGAAGAGGCTAGGAGGCAGAGTCCCTGGTGTGGGCCTATGGGCCAGGGGCTTCATCATGGCAGACTAGGATTTATGGCTGCTATCCAACTAGTAGATAAAGGGCATGCTGCTGCCCAGAACTGAAGGTCACTCTAAGGGGCTCTTGCTGGCTTCTATTGTGGTAGCTGCCCCAGAGAAGTGCCATCCCAAGGCAAAGGGGGTTGGAAGTTGATTATTTACCGCATTTACTACCTGGGCCTTGTGTTGCCTAGGAAAGGGGCATGCTAAGCTGTGGAGAAGGGAAGGAGTGGACTAATCTATAGGAAGGGACTCATTTCACTAACAAGCCACATCACCCTCAGGAGTCCCTCTTTGTTGAGTGCCCATACTGGGTATTGAACTCAGGGCCAGTGCACTGTCTCTTAGCTTTTTAGCTCAAGGCTGGCTTTCTACCACTTGAGCCACACCTCCACATCTGGCTTTTTGGTGGTTAATTTGAAATGAGAGTATCTTGAGCTTTTCTTCCTGGCCTGGTGGTACCCAGATCTCAGCCTCCTAAGTAGCTAGGATTATAGGTGTGAGCCAGCAGTACCGGGCTCAGAAACCGCTCCCTCACCATTCCCATACCTCCTTTTCCTATGGCCTGCACTTCCCCCAGCTACTGACATCAAACAGACAATACATGAAACCAGTTGCAAACAAAGTTTATTATGCAGACACCTAAACCACAGCACTCAGAAAGCAGAATCCACTGAGGCATTTATGTACACAGAAGCACAGGATCCCCTACAGTCCTTGGTAGAGCACCATTCTGGAGAAGGAGCACTAAAAGGATCAGGCAAAGAGGCACAGGAGATTGGAGGTGGCTAGAGACATACTGGGCAATGTAAATTCTTCCCCCAGAACACAGTGAGATATCACTGGCTCTAACTGTTTCAAAGAGGCAATCATTCAAAACCATGTGTGTAGGCACACTTCCTCCAAAACACTATTGGAGGTTTGAAATTTGACTTGTTATTGGTTAGAGGTACAGAAACAGGCTTCTGCATTCTGGAGTGGAAGAGTTAGAAAGAGACCCTATGTTTATCTAAAAGAAAAGGTCACGCCAGAGCCACAACCTTCCTCTGAGCCAGCTCCACTCTTTCCAGAGGTAGAAACTCCTCCTCTAGAGCCAGAACCTCCTCTGGAGCCTCCTCCAGAACCATAGCCTCCTCCAGAGCCAGAGCCTCCTCTGGAGCCTCCGCCAGAGCCGTAGCCTCCTCCAGAGCCAGAGCCTCCTCCAGAGCCAGAGCCTCCTCTGGAGCCTCCTCCAGAACCATAGCCTCCTCCAGAGCCAGAGCCTCCTATGGAGCCTCCTCCAGAGCCAGAGCCTCCTCTGGAGCCTCCTCCAGAACTGTAGCCGCCTCCAGAGCCAGAGCCTCCTCTGGAGCCTCCGCCAGAGCCGTAGCCTCCTCCAGAGCCACTGCCAGAGCCCCAGCTTCCTCCACCGCCACTTTGAGAGCCTGGTCCTCGGCCTCCAGAGCCATAACTGCTGCTTCCAGAGCTGACTCCTCCTCTTCCTCCACTGGGTCCTTTACCTCCAGAACTAGAGTCTCCAAAACCAGCCCTGGATGCCACACTTGAAGAAATGGTGCTGCTCGTCACAGCTGCAAGAGAGAGCGTGTTACCAGGCCATTGTGATCACTGAAGTGTCTATCCTCCTCTGCCCACACACTGCCCCACAGGACATGACCATACCCCATGACTTACACACAGTCACATCATTGCTGATTTCTCCAGACATCCTGTCAGGAAGAGAGAAACAAAGTTGTAGCTGAGCACTTGAAATTCTGCATGCATCTTGTTTTTACAACTTCTGCCTATAAATGTGCAGCTTAGCCACTAAAATCAGCCACTGGGTGCTTCTGGGTGACAGAGAGGGTGACAGACCTCACAATTCGGCATAGTCTGGTACCTCAATCCATCTCAAAAATCTTTTTCTTTGTTCTGATTAAAATGAACAAGTGCATTATTGAGCCAGAGTGACTGAAAAGCAGATCCATTGCTAACTGTGGAACCCATTTTGTATTTAAATCCATCTTAGGGCTGGAGACATGGCTCAAGTTGTGAGCACCTGCCTAGCAAACACTAGAGGCCCTGAGTACAAACTCCAGTACCACCACCATCAAAATTATTATTATTAATAATAATAATTTAATCCATCTCAAGGAAACTGTATAATACATGCAACGCCCAAAGTTTTGAAATGTCGCAGCACCAGGAACATGCCATACAGAAAAATCTGCAGCTCTTTGCAGCCTGCCTATTTCTCTCTCCCTCTTCAGAATCCACTGAAGCCTTTCCTACTTCCCCTTCTAAGCTGGGTCAAGGGCATTTTCTGTCAAAGACTGTTTTGCTGATAACCCAAGGTGACTTTTTCCCTACTAGTTACATCAGCTATGTTAGGTCACTAAGGACTGATGACAAAGGATTCAGATACTACCAAAAAAAAAAAGGTCTTCTTTTGAAGGTTAGCAACTAGCTCTGTTTGTTGTTTTGAAAAGCTTCACAGAACCAGGTCTGTCCTCTCTGGACAAGGCAGGCTGCATTACTCCTATTCTAGATCGTACTGTAGAGAGAGGAGAAGGCCTCCCATCCTGTAGACTTCGAGGCCAAGGTTTTGGCCTAAGACAATTCTGTTTCCACATTTACTGTCTCAATTTAACATATTATGATATGCTTTGCTATTCTTTCCATATTGATAAAAGTACAACTGGCTTTCCCCATGGGGCCCTCACAGGACAGTGACAGACAGGATCATCATCCTGTCTTGCATTCAAGGCTTTGTGCCCTGAAATTCTTTCTAAGAAGAATAGTTAATAGAAGTTCTCAGCCATCAACTTATAGACTGCCACCTTATTATCTGCTTTTTCCTGCCTTGACTCTATCTCTGGATCAAAGAGAAAAGCGGAGGAGGATGGCTCAAGGTACCCTTACTCCCTCCCTCTGTCCCTCACCTGCACTCCTCGCCCTCCAAGAGTTTGCGGTAGGTGGCAATCTCCACATCCAGAGCCAGCTTGGTGTTCATCAGCTCCTGATAGTCACGTAGCAGACAGGCCAGGTTCTCCCGGGCCTGTTGCAGGGCCTCCTCCAGGTCTAGGAGCTTGTTCTTGGCATCTTTAATGGCATGTTCTCCACGCTGCTCCGCATCTGCAATGGAGTCTTGTACATTCTTACACTATGAGAAACAAAGGGAAGGTTTCCATTGGCACAGAGTGGAGTGCCTGCCTGGCAAATGTCCAGTGGGAGGCCAGAAGCACTGGCATTGGAAGTATTGGGTCCAATACCCCTGGAGTTAATGGAGGTTGCAGACCAATGTGTTAAAGTTTGTTTCTGGAGCATCTTCCTCCTGCCTCCCTCTGTCACCTTATTGTCTGACTCAAATTTCCTTCCCACTCGTTGCCCCTCTGTGAAACTGAGGGACAACACACAAATAAGAAGTTACATCTGCAATCACCCCAACTTTTGCCATATTTTCTATTGCTCCCTCTACTCATGTAGACAATCAAAAGTTGATCACTATTCTTCCTATTCACTTATCCTTACTGTAGAATTTCTCTTAACCCACTCTAAAACCTGTTACAACCTGAATTTTCTATTTAGCTTAGAGCAGATTGTGATTGGAGTACATTGAGGAAAATTTCTCAGTGTCTTCCCATACACAGAGAGAGAGAGAGAGAGAGAGAGAGAGAGAGAGAGAGAGAGAGAGCAAGCCATACACAGATATCCCTACTCTCCTCTGAACCCCTCAGCCATCACACAGACCAGGCCTTACCTGCTTCTTTACGTGTGAGATCTCCCCTTGTAGTCTCTGGATCATGCGGTTCAGCTCACTGATCTGCATCTTGATATCCTTCAGGCTGTCTCCGTGTTTCACAGCAGTGATCTGGAGCTCCTCATACTGTTTTAAGAAAGCGGGAAGAGTTCATGGGGAAATCCATCCTGGAGAAGATTTAGATTTGAGCTAAAGAAGGGTTGGTAGCTTGTCTAGGGATGGTCAACACAGCTAAAGATGGTAGCTGTGTTCATAGGATTTGGGAGACCACTCCACACTCACTCTGGAGAATGATACCCAACTCCCATTCGGCAATCACATAGTCACCTTCCTCTATACATCCTGGCTTGAGGTGAAGCCCAGCTTGCTGTAAGGAACTGTATATGCTATTCCTCTATAGCTCTAATACTTGCCTTGCTATGGTACAGTGCCTCGGCCTCCACCTTGCTCTTCTGGGCAATTTCCTCATACTGGCTCTGAACTTCAGAAATGATGCTGTCCAGGTCCAGGTCACGATTGTTGTCCATGGAGAGGATGACGTTGGTCTCGGTGACATTCTGCTGTAGCTGGGCTATTTCCTACAACGTAAAAGGTAGTCTGACCATGTCTTCCTGTACACATTCATGAGCAGTGAGGAGGTCTCCTCTCTTACACTTAGCGTGGAAAATGGCAGAGCCATCATTCCTGGGGAGGGGGTATCTACATTTCTGAGACACCCCTACATTTCTGAGTTCACAGCCTCTACTACTTTCCCCAGGGAGTGCCCCTAAAAAGAAGCTGGTCCAGGGAAAATACTTTTTTCTTTACTTCTTATGAGGGAGGTAGGAGAATGAGTACATTTTGACCTCTGACGTATATTGGGCAACTGAATGGGCACAAGGCAAATCCTTTCCTAAGGTAGGCTGGACTTTCAGGGGATGGAGGGGGAAGGGAGTCTCGATTCCTGTGATATCAGAGGAGGAAATTCCTCTCTCATCATCTAACGAGAAGCCCCCTAGGGAGCAGGAGCATGGGACCAGTTGAAGTAAGCCAGTCCGTAATTCCAGCCTTGTTGTCTTTCAACAGCTAGCTAAAATTTTTCCTGTTGTGGGAAGAAGAGGAGATTAGAGTCAGTCCCAAACAAGCATCCTTACGGCATCATAGAGAGCTCTCAGGAATTGAATCTCTTGCTGTAGAATGTCCGCTTTTGTCTGCAGTTCTGTTTTGCCTGTGAAGCAGCTGTCTACATCCTGAAAGGAAGTCAGAGTCTTTTAGTGAAACACACATGCACACACACACACACACACACATTTTTCATGTACGTGTCCCAGCTTGTCTCTGTTGCTCTCCTCCACCTAGTGTGGGTTAGTGGCTTCCTCAATACCCCAGGCACCTCCAGATAAGTCCCTTGTCAATGGGAGCTGATTGAGCAGGCACTCTACCAGGCACCCATGGGGATGGGAACTTCATATCCGTACTCATACGCCTTCATGACCATATGAGTTTGCAAGGAGCCAAGTTTCACCAAACTCTCTCTCCCCTAATTGAGACACAATGGGTTCTCATGATGGGATACCATGGCCTCTGTGGCTTCCACAGCCTCCAAACTTCTTGTCCTGTTTCTCCATATTACCTCCCTTACGTTTCCTTGGATTGTACACCAAGACCCCTGTAAGAACCTGAAATTTCACTCCTTTTAGCCTCCTAACTCAGCCTTTAATCACACAACCCAACTGTAAGCAGATGTTCTGAAACCAGTTCCGTTCCTCTCCAGCTCCTTAAAAGAACTAAATGATTTCTGTCTTTGCACTCTTCATGATTTATATAATGAATTTTAAGTGGAGTATTAATGAGGAGCAAAATATGCAGAATATCATGAAAACTTGAACTATAGAGATCCTTTTGTTCCTAAGTCAATACCATGGACATGCTCACCTCTTTATCTGATTGCTACTGCATGCCCTGGTTTTTAGCCTGTATGTTTCGACACAGGCAAGGATGTGAAGTGCCCTACTTCACATACTTCACATACTTGCCCCAACCATACCATTCACTCACTCACCTTTTTAAGTGTCACAAATTCATTCTCAGCAGTTGTGCGCTTGTTGATTTCATCTTCATACCTGGTGGTACAAAATGATACTGTGCTTAAATTAGCTCTACTTTATTGTGCTTTCCCTTTTTCTACTGGATTCACCCAAATCATCTATGAATATTAAATGCTCTTTACATGTATAAATTGAAACTTAATCTCTCATATGAGAATGGATTTCTATAGATCCACTCTCAAACAGAAAAAAGATGATGTCTGAACAAGTTACCAGTGGCTCACATCTGTAATGCTGGCTATTCAGGAAGCTGAAAAACTGAAGATCATGGTTCAAAGCCAACCTGAGTAGAAAAATCTGTGAGATTCTTATCTCCAATTAAACACTCAAAAATCCAGAAATGGAGCTGTAGTCCAAGTGGTAGAATGCCAGCCTTGATCAAAAAAGTTTAAGGACAGTGCCCAGACCTTTGAGTTCAAGGCCCTTTGAGTTCAAGACCCATCACCAATATACTCTGTCTCTGTCTCTGTCTCTATCTCTGTCTCTCTCTGTCTCTCTCTCTCTGTTTCTCTCTCAGATTCTAATGTTCTCAACAAAGATATGTCCCTCTCCTTCATCACCACAAATTGAGCTCTGCTCAATATGTATCTGTACTTAGTATTTCCATGGCCACCTACCTCTTCTTATAATCCTCCACAAGATCCTGCATGTTGTTCAGCTCCAAATCTTGTGAATTACTTTCTGCAGAGAGCTCATCCACCCGCTTCTTGAGCATGCCAATGTAGGCTTGGAAGATGGGTTCCAGGTTGGTAGAACGGGAGCCTACATCCAGCTGCTGAAGCAGTTCCCATTTAGTCTGTAGCACCTGGTTCTGCTGCTCTAGGAAGCGCACCTGCCATGGCCAGAGGAAGAAAAGCATATAAGATCTGGATTGCCCTCTAGGCCAGCAAGCCAAACTCATCCCAGAAAGCAATGGTGTTGCTCCTGGAAAGTAAGGAAGTAGAAAGACTTCATACCAGCTGGAAAGTGCTCACTGGGCAGAGCTCCTGAACTCTTTTTCCAAACACTTGGAAAGTTCTACTGACTCCTAATGCTGCTTCTGGTCATCTCCATGCACAGAACTCTCCTTCCTACTTCATGCCCACTGCATGTTTTGCAGCCACTTCTGAGACTCCAGGCCATTTCTCTTCTGCATCCTAATTGCCCTCCCTGCCAAGGTTCCATAAATCCTGAAGATGTCAAGCATCTGCTGGCACTTCAACTTAGTGAGCTGAGAATGCGAGACCTGGAGGGCAAGACTCCTCAGACTTTTTTTTTAATCCTTATTAATTCCTGCCTAAGGAACCAAGACAGGTTTGTCTGCCTTGAAACAGAAGAAAACCCAAAAACACCCCAAAGTAACGCAAATAAAGACTTCATGGGTATGAAACTGCTTCTCTTGTACGCTGGAATTTCATTCATCACTAAGCAACTATTTCAAGTTTTGCTTCTCAGAACTTATTTCAAGTTTTGCTTCTCAGAACTTAATAAGAGAATCACAACCTAGCTAGTCAGGAGGCTAAGACTGGAGGATCAAAGCTTGAAGCAAGCCCAGGCAGGAAAGACCCTGGAACTCTTGTGTCCAATAAACCACCAAAAAGCTGGAAGTGGAGCTGTGATACAAGTGGTAGAATGCCATCCTTAAGTGAAAAAGCCAAGGGACAGTACCCAGACCCTGGGTTCAAAACCCAGTATGGGCACCAAAAAAAAATCTACCTGAGAAGAGACTAGAAAGAGAATCACATCTCTTTCTTTCAAAACCTACTGTCACTCAGTTTGACCTGCTTGCTATTCCTTGCCTCTATCCATTTTGTCTATGATTATCAGAAGTCTCCACAAACATTATTTATTTGGACTGAAATCTAAAATGCAACTGCTAACCACGGGCCGTGGTGGAAGGCATGCCTGCAAAGCTATCAGCCCTTCCGTATGGAGTATGAATCCAGTTACGACGGCCACACACCAGTGGCTCCTAGAAGTGACAGATCTCTGATCATTTCCTTGTCCACCAGCACTGAAAATGCAGCTCCTGGAAGTGGCCTTTCCTCACTCACCTTATCAATGAAAGTGGCAAATTTGTTATTGAGTGTTTTGATCTGCTCCCGCTCCTGTGACTTCACATTCTGGATCTCTGGGTCAACTTTCACGTTGAGAGGCTGCAGAAGGCTCTGATTGACAGAGACTTCATGGATGCCTCCACCAGGAAGTCCTCCAGGACCAAAGCCACCAGGTCCCCCAAAACCTCCACCTCCAAAGCGGCCTCCACCAAAACCGCCTCCACCGAAGCCACCACCTCCACCAAAGCTGCCTCCTCCGAAGCCACTGCCGCCTCCTCCGAAGCCACTGCCGCCTCCAAAGCCACTGCTGCCTCCAAAGCCACCGCCGCCTCCAAAGCCACCTCCTCGGCCACCAAATCCACCACCGGAGCCAAAGCTTCCACCGCCTCCAGCCACAGACATGGAGATTCTCTTGGACCCTCCAAGGCCAACAAGACTCTGACTGCTAGAGCAGCCTCCACCTCCACCCCCTCCACCATGACGGCTCAAGCAGGAGAAGCTGGAGGTTGTTTTCCGGCTGCCTCCAGAGATCACAGCAGAGCCACTGCTGAAGCCCCTAAATCCTCCTCCGCCGCCTCCACCTCCTCCTCTTCGAGATCTGCATGAAATCTGACAACTCATGATGCCTTTTCCCAGCGAGTAAAGTCAAAGGTTCCTGAGACGAGAAGAGTCTGGAGACTGAACTGCGCTGTTCGGAGTCTATCAGGGTCCCCTTTTATACCTGCCAACTAGGTGTTGGTGAGCATGGGTGTGGGCTCACTTATGCATGGGTTTGGTCTGCCTGGAAGCTATTCCTGGTGAGTGATTATCAAGCTAATAGCCATTAAAAAAAATCAGCTTCATTCCAGAACTTGCTTTGGTTGCGAACTTCTGTTTATCTATACATCTGTCACGTAATTTGATTTTTGTAAAATCATCAGAAGAAGAGATTAGGATTTAGGTTTCTCAACCTGAAAATGAAGAGCCTTTCCATAGAACGCTACTCCCTACTCTGGACCCATCTTCGGGTAGTTGGCTACTTCCCAGGCCCACACAGGCTCACCACACAGTTCTCCATCCAGCCTTATGGCTCTCTGTACTTGCTTATGGTCTAGGAAGAGCATCAGTCAGCATCAGTTGAGTTGGGGAGGTGGGGAATTCTGTGCAGAGCATGATTGTGAGGTATCCAAATCAGCATCCTCTTACAGAGAGGTTTACCTAGGACACTGCAAGAGAATAGTTATTTGCCAAGCTATCATGGATCTTTCAAGCCTACTGTGCCAGAAATGCATAATGTGCTGGGTACAGGAGTTATTTTCTCTCATAACCAGGGGCTTAAATAACCAATGCTTTCTACATGAAATATGTGGAGGACAAGGGGTATAAGGAAAGATTCTCTGTTCCCGGGACTGTATGACTCACAGGCCAAAATGAAAGGTTACAAAGGTTTTACACAACTTTAAGATCCAAGTGTAGATTGACTCAGTTGTTCAATAACCACGCTGTGGCCTGGTGATTCTGAGAAGCAATTAGAAAGGCAGGCTCTTTGCTGACAACCAGAGATGGATGAAGCTCAGAAGAGCCATCCAGTCTAGCCAGAGTCTCCGGATGCACAAACATTCACACCCAAACTTAGCCAGTCTCTCCTCTGTCCAAGTAGCTAGCTGGGAGAAACACTTTAAAATAACAGATCAAATTAAAAGTCAAAAGCTCTGGGTTTGAGTTCTAGTTTTGCCATCTATTTGGCCATATTATCTTGAATTAAACTCTGGAGGCTCTGTGGAAAGCCATGACCATGCCATATACATGTTAGTTATCTTCATCGTTGTCAAATGAAAGAAAGATGTGTGTTAGTCTCCCTTCTGATGATTCTGACCAAGCACTCCATAGAGCAGACAGTCTTACTTCCAGAACTAAAAGCTCAGACCCTAGCACAGTCACCATAACACAAAGTCAAAGAAAAAGAACAACAGTTCTGAGTTGAAGTCACAATTTCATTTATTTTAGGAACGAGACCTTGGATAATTGATGGTCTTCTTTAAGCCTCAGTTTCTCAGTTTCCTAATCCTTAAGATGTGACAAAGATGGAGGAGGACTAAGGAGAGGGAGAACAATGCTGACAATGGAAAAAAGAAGATAATATACACATATGCCAACACAGTTGCTAGTTAATAGCAGAAACTCAATCAATTTTGTCTCCCTTCCTACTCTTCCCTCCTCCACACCAAGTTTCCTCCCCTATGTGGTAACTGTCTGGCAGGTGTAGGAATGGGAATAGAGAACTGGGAATCAGATATTTGATTTGTAGAAAAGAAGAATGCTGAAGAAAGCAAATCAACAGCTCCTGGATTTTATTTTCCATTCTGGCTTATATAATTACAATCATGCAAATAACTCATAAAGCTAAAAGCGTTGGAGAGACTCTCAATCCAAAGCCAAATGTGTCATTATCTATGGATATCTGAACACCGCCCTAATTGCCCATTACTCCACTATGACTCTACGGAAGGCCCTGCCAGCTTCAGAGGGGTCTTAATCCCTCTGTGATGGAGAGACACAAACAGTGAGTATGCGCTGTGCCCGAGGCCTGTGCTGGGCACTGGGCTGGCATAAACATATTCATTCTGCTGTCACCTGGCATTGTCTTTCTCTCTTGCTCCACTCTCTCTCCCTCCCTCCCTCTCTCTCTCTCTCTCTCTCTCTCTCTCTTTTCCCACTGAGCATCTTCTCTTTCAAGACATATTCACAAACGGTGAAAATCAAGTTAAAAGAATTGAAAGAGAATCTTCCTCCTGTTTTGAAATCAAGAGGGCAGAACTCATGCAACTTGTATATTATGCAAGGTTTTTGGCTCTGTATTTGTTTTAACTTCACTTTTTACATGATGTTTTCATTTTTATTTTTATTGTCATTATAAATGTGATGTACAGAGGGGTTACAGTTACCTAAGTCAGGTAAAGAATACCTTTCTTTTTGGACAGTATCACCCCTTCTCTCACTTTCGCCCAGTTTTTTCCCTCCCGTCCCCACCCAAGTCACATAGCTCATTTTCAACATAGTGTCTAACGAGTACTACTGCAGTATTTGTTCACCCTTTGTCCCTCCATTTCTGTGCTCCCCTTACTATATTATCTTTTCTTAAAAAAACATTATTGTCCTTACATAGTTGTACAGTGAGATTTCAATTCAATGTGCCAGTTGGTGAGTACAATGCATCTTCATCATTGTCACTCTTTTCATCACCCCCATCTCTCCAGACACCTCTCATTTCCTCAATTTTCCTAGTTCTGTTTTCACATAAGTAAACTGAATATTATGACTGAATTATCCCACCTTTCCTCTCTCCATTCAGCTGGATCCTCCCCTTGAACTCCCCCAACACCACATTTTCTAGCTTCCTAGTATTAATTTTGTTAAACTGTAAGTTGTTCAAAAAAGTTACATCATTGGGATCCTCTCTTGCAGATACCATACTTTGTTCAATATAATTTTTGTTGTTGTTGTTGTTTTTTGGGTCCGGTCGTGGGGCTTGAACTCTGGGCCTGGGCGCTGTCCCTCAGCTCTTCAGCTCAAGGCTAGCCACAGCACCACTTCCGGCTTTTTTCTTTTTGTTTATGTGGTGCTGAGGAATCAAACCCAGGGCCTCATGCATGCAAGGCAAGAGCTCTACCACTGAGCCACCTTCCCAGTCCTGGTCAATATAATTTTTATGTGCTTTGTATTCTTTAAGGATTCAAAAAATGGGAGCTAAGAATCCTTCTCTGGCAGTGGTTTAGTGCCACTTATATCCACTGTGGCACTCATTTTCAATTACAAAAGGAGAACATTTATCCTAGGCCCATATTCTTCCCATAAGAGGATGGACCTGTTAGTATAAAGAGCTTTAAGCTTGGCTGTCTCTGAGAGCAAAGCAAGAATCCTTTAAAACAAAAGCTATCCTCCAGCTCCCTAGTTAGTTCCTTTCTCAGGGAGCTGCCAGCAAGCCCCAAATCCTGAATGCTTGTCCTCACAGGTTTTCAAATGCACATCTTTGGCCCATTTGGTCCACATCTTTAGTCCACTGGGACAGAAAAACCGAGTAGGACAGAAAGCAGAGTCATCGTGTTCAACAGAGTGTGTGGCGGTGGGAGGTGTGTGTGTGAACTGTTCTGCCAATGGGAAATAAAGTCTCCATCACGGTGGTTGTTGATTCTCCATCTTGAGATGAATGTCCCCTTCCCCACACTACCTTACCCCACATGACCTGAGAGCACATCCACCTCCCTCACAGCCTCATCAGCAGTGCCCTCCTGTGAGACAGTGAATTGTGGCCCTAGACTTCTGCAGGGCAGAGTCAGGGTCGTGGAAAAAGCCTATAATCAAAACCTCTTTTCTGTGGATCTTGGTTTGCAATGGCACACTCTCCCTGATGTGTGCGTTTAATACAGCATTGCTCTGAGTGTCTGTTCCCTGAAGAACCCAAGGGCTTAAGTCTCCGATTTCTGTTCCACTGTACCCACAGACTTAAGTGCTGTCTCTCCTCCCCAGAGACAACCCATCCATCCACTGAACAAGGGCTGCCAATCCCTCTCAAAATAGAAACAAAGTATTTGCATTTAAAAAACACACAGACAGACAGACAGACCGACAGACACACACACACACACACACACACACACACACATTTAAACCCTTCTCCAGCCCTTGCCACTGGGCTCAAGCTGCCCAACGGGGTCAAAATCCAGAGCATCCAATCACATGAAGAGTTTCCAACAGCACAGAGCCAAAAGTGTCCCTCATCCCGGCCGGCAGCAGAGCCCTGGCAAGGTGGCACTGCGGATCTGCACTGCCCACCGCCTCCCAGGGTATCTCATGGAGCACTAAGCTGCGGCTGGTGTGAGAGCGGTGGTGTGCCAGTGGCTCCAAGGCTGCCAATAGGACACTTGCTCAACACCTCCCTCCAGGGCATTTCTTTGTAAATGATTATTCTAAAGCTCCTTACTCAGTCTCTGTTCCAGCCCCTGACCCAGTTCCCCATCTCAGCCATGCCCTCCCCTTCTGCCTTACCTAACCTGTCCTTTCAGTGGGGAGGGGAGAGAGTATGTTATCATTCAACTTATACTATATTAAAACCTTTTGACAGGTAGCCTAATCATCTGCTACACACACGTGCACACACACACTCACATATATATGCAACACTCATGTATCCACACATTGTAGGAAGTACACAATGTTACCACTGTGCAGGATCATCCCAGGACAAATGTGCCACACTTATCAGGGTTTGCACACTGATTAGGGGCCAAGAGGACAGAGGCTGGCCCAGCCCACAGCTGGTGTTTGTTGGGTGAATGAAGCCACCCACCCAGCACATAGTCATAAGCCAGTCAATGAAGGGAGATCGGGACAACTGGCTTATAGGAGGTGTTCAGTGAATGTTACTTCTGTTCCCACGGCTGAGAACATACATGTCACATGTGCTTCTGATTTTTTCAATTGGGCTCCAGAGGATCTGACCCACAACATGGGAAGTTATGCATTCCAACTTTATTCTCAGTGAGACGAAGACACAGCTACATCATCTTCAGCTTTATTTTCTGCCTTTCTACAACTCTCTGGGTCTGATGTCTCTTGCTAAAATGTCATCCAGTTAATGACAC